TTGTTAACCAGCATGATGACCGCGGGCAAGTCTGGGACCCTCTCCAAACCTTCGTTCCCGCGGCTGAAAAGGGAGAGAATTGCAAGAGAGGATCCCTGGGCTCCTACCAGTTCGTCCACTTCGCTGTTAAGGCTGCCGAAACAAAGGCCACCCGCTCCCTAGTCTGTACCCGAGGGGGCCACAACTCAAAATTCTTGCTGCTCAACTCCCTTTGCAGAGCGGCAGCAGGAGCGCCCGGGTCTCCATCCGAGGCTGCCGCACTCGGCCGTCTCTGCCCGCTCCATCAGTAACTTGCTTTCGCAGCTGTTGCCCAAAGTTTTCCAGAGCGTCCGGAGACCCGGCTGTCAGTCAACCGCGAAAAGAGCAGGGCGCGGGGAGCCGAGCCTAGGAGCCCAGTCCGGGAAATCCCGAAGCCGCTCCCGTGGCCAAGCAGGGAGTGACAGGTGCGACGAGGGACGCCGGCGACCGAGACCGGACAAACCAGAGCGCGCGTGTGGGCGCGCGAGGGAGGCGGCCGTCGCTTCCTCCTCCGGCAACACTCGCGACGCCCCCAGCCCCGCTTCAGGCCCCGCGGCACCCAGGACTCCTCATCCTCAGGGAGCCCCGCGCCACGGCCCGGGCTCAGGCTTCGGAGCAGAAGAAGCGGGAGCCGCCGGGGCCGCCGAGGCCGCCCGGGCCGCGGGTTCCTTCCCGCGCACGCCGGGGCGGTCGCGGGGTGGGCGCACGCGCACCCGCCAGCGCCGCCGTAACCCCTTCCTCCCCGCGCGGCCCCCGCACTCCCACCCAGCCGCCGCTCACCATCGATGTCCCCCAGAGTCAGCTCGTCGCCCAGCTCCGTCAGGGTGTCCATGGTCTCCGGACCGCCCAGCTCGCCGCTCTCGTCCATCGCCCGGCTTGGCGCAGAGTCCCCCGTGAGGTCCGGCTCAGGGAGACGCGGAGGCGGTGCCGCCGCCACCGCCCATGACACCCGACAGCCCCCACCTGGTACCGCCTCACCGGCCCGTGCCAGCCGCCGCCATGTTTGAGCTGCGCCCCGACTCCACGGAAGGGGCGGGGCAGGATTCCCCCGCCCCGGGCCGCGCCCACCGCAGCCCCGCCCTCAGCCCCCCCCCGCGCCCCCATGTTTGTTGTCAATGGGACCAGGCTCCCCTTAGCCAATGGGCGCGCGAAGCGGCTCGTGGGGTGATGGCGCGTCATCGATCAGCAGCTCAGATTTGCATAGCGAGGCTCCGCCCCTCGCGGCCTCCCAGCGCCAGCGGAGAGTAGCCGCCAGGCCCTCGACCCAGCCTTCCTCTGCGTTAAAGGAGCCGCTACTTTCCCGGTGGATCAGCTCCAGGAGCGGCTTCGGCGAGAGTCCGGAAATAGAAGGGTTAATGCAGGGCTGCCCGGCAACACCTTCCACAGCCCCCTTTACACGGTGAGCACATTACGTCATCTTCCCCGTTGCCTCTCCCTCACCCAGCCCTGGTTAGACTCATAGTACCCCAACACTTAGGGATAGACCATCCCAGGCTTTATTCCACCCAAGACTTGAATCGCCCCAGTGTGGACATACTACAACTGGCCCTCAATCTGGAGAACCTCAGGATTATTCAGGGCCTTTAAAGGTGGTCATTTGTCACCAATGGTCTCTAGAGGTGAGACTCCCAGGATTCTGAAGCACCCCACAGCCGCAGTCATCTGGGCATCATTTTACAGGTGGTCGCACAGTACACAAAGGTGCAAACTTCCAAAACAAAGATTAGTGTTCAAAGAAATGCTGAGTAAACACACATACCAAGACATCCATCACTGAGTTCTTTGTAACTAGGGAAAATCAAGAAGCCCAGGAAGGCACTATATAAGTAAATTTCACACGGTGAAATACCATGGCATCCTTAACAGATTATGGAATGGACATTAGAAAAAAAGACCTGTGTATTTATTGACAGGAAAAAAAAAAAAGGCTTTCATGCCATACATAGGAAAATCTTCCTGTGAGTCTGAGGCAGCTGTTTTAGGGGTCAGAACTATGGAGAAACTTGTGGATCCATTAATCCACTCTGTGCCACTGGGCCGGTTAGGCAACTGTTGCTAAGACTCAGTTTTGCAATCTTGAATGTACCACCTTTGTAATTTTCATATCTATTTGATCTCCGCAAGCTCTTACCTTGTAGGTATAAATGTTGCAGCACCGAAGGGAAGGCTTCCCCAGAGCAAGTGTTGCAGCTCTGAGGGGAAATGTAACAACCCTGACACAAGATGTTTATTAGCAAAGACACAAGAGTGTGGCTGGGAGAAGCAGCAAAGAACTGAGCAGGAGGTGGTGGGCTTTATAAACGGTTTCTTGGCTGGAGGGGAAAGGTTTCCTGGTGGGATTCTGTGGCCTGATCTTGGACTGCAGCTTCTTCTCTCCCTCTTTTTTTTTTGGTAGGGCAGAGCTTGGCCACCTGTCTCTCCAGGGGCTGAAAACTGCTTTTAAGGTCCTTACAATAATCTGGGAGACAGAACCTGGCCACTCAGGGGCCCCAAGGGGCTTACACTAAGGACCTCTGTGTTTGTGTGTGTAAAAATAAAAATATTGAACATAACACACAATGGTACAAGTGACCAGGGAAAAGAGGTGTGATGAGACTAACAAGGGGCCTGCTTTGTGACGCCAAGATTCTCACCTGGGCCAGTAAGAAGGCCCAGTAAGCCTGCTACTAAACTCGATGACTCAAGTTCAATTCCTGTAAGTTCTATGTCCTTTACGTGTGTATGCTTAGCCAACAGGCCTGAGAAAACACAAATGAAGGCTCAGTAGAAATGGTTGTGACTCATTCCTTTTCTTTTCAGACAATGTTTTATGCAGTCCATGCTGGCCTTGGAACTAGGTATGTAGTCTTTTTTGTTTTTTCTCTTAAAGAACTTTACTTTTTTAAGCCAGGCAGTGTCAGCACACACCTTTAATCCTAGCACTCAGGAGGCAGAGTCAGGCAAATCTCTGCGTTTGAGGCTAGCCTGGTCTACAGAGTGAGTTCCAGGACAGCCAGGGCTTCACAGAGAAACCTTGTCTTGAACCAAAAATAAATAAATAAATAAATTAATTAATTAATTAAATGGTAACAAGATGGTCACTGCACTAGGCCCAAACCTCAGCAAACGCCGACATCTCCTAGCCTTGCCCACATAACTGAATTTCTCTTCCAGCCGGCTCCCACTGGGAGGCCAGGCTGTCACACTACTCCCCAGGACCTGAGCTGTTCATCTGAAGTGTCTAAGTGTTACGTCACGGTATGCCCTCTGGGTTGGGTAGCTGCTGTACATCACAGAAATAGTTCCCACTCCTCTAAGAGCTCTGCTCTCAGGCCTCCTCCATCATCTTTCAGCTGTCATTACCTCTGGGAAGCTTTCTGGCTGATGAATCAAGAGTTTGGCTGGAATGAGCAGAAGCATAGGTAATGATGGTTGTCAGGGGTGGCAGGGCAGATTTAAGTCCAGATGGTTTGACTGTCCAAGAAGAAAAGAGCAGAGACAGGAAGCTAGGTCAAAATACATATTCATTTAAAGAGGTGAGGGAAGACAGAGCAGACAAGGACAGAGCTCGGAACAAGAATAACCCAGAATGGGCTGGAGAGATGGCTCAGGGGTTAAGATCACTGCTGCTCTTCCAGAGGGCCCAGGATTCAATTCCTAGCACCCACATGGCAGTTCACAACTGTCTGTAACTCCTGTTCCAGCAGATCTGACACCTTCACACCAATGCACATAAAATAAACTTTAAAATAAATAAAATAACCCTGGTAGATCATCCCCCAAAGCCCTCAACATCTATCTGGACAATGACTAGGGAGGGCAGAAGAAAATGGAGGACTGAGGGGAGGGAAGGAGAGACATCTAGCAATGACTGGAGATATTCTTAGTTGTCCTAAGTGCGGGACTGCTACTGGCATCTAGTACGTGGTGACCAGGGGTACTGCTAAATATCCTACACCACTCAGGATAGTCTTCTCACACAACAGTAAAATAGTCCAAAATATCAACAGTGCCACTGTTGAGCTGTCCTTCCTTTAGGGATAATTCAAGGGCTCCCAGAGTCTCCAGGAGTGCCATGGACTGGACTTACAAGACTGGACAATCCAAGACCACACTGTCACTGTTGCCATCATGAGCACCCCTGGCAATGGCCACTCATCAGGCCACTAGAAAACATACACACTCTTGTTACCTTGACACTGCCACTACCTAAACACACGATTGGTAGAGCTACTATCACAAAACTGAACCCAGCTGCTGGGTGAGCTGGAGAAGCCAGTGCCCTCCCTCAAGTGTTTTGTGTTTTTGTTTCCTAAATCCACCCACCCACCTACCCACCACTAGTCATGGTGACACATGCCTTTAATTCCAGCACTCAGAAGGCAAGGGCATGTGGATCTCTATGAGGTCAGCCTAGCCTACAGAGTGAGTTCCAAGGCAGCCAGAGCTACACAGTGAGACCCTGTCTCAAAGACACAAAAAGAGACAAACAAAAACAAAAAGAAAGACAAGTCCCCAGCCAAGCTGGCCTGGTTCTTTAGAAGCTCTCCCCTCAGTTAAAGGAAGAAACATTTTCCTTGCAGAGCCAGCAAAGACAAACAGGGAGGACCCTCATGGCTGGCTCTGACCCTCACAAGCACTCACTCAGCTTCGACAGGTAGGGTAGATGTCACCCTTTTCATAGGCCTAGTGCCGTCATCTCCTATAAACCTCACAGGAATGGGCTGGGTCATACAGCTGGAAGGGACAGGACTGAGAATGCAGCCCAGGTCTCTGGAGCCAGCTGTGTATTTCTTCTGCCTCACAAGAGAGACAAGCATTTCTGATGGGAAGATTTCTCCAGCCCTCCTCCCAGTGACTTCTCATTTCTTTACTTTTCCTGAATGGCTGTTGGGATGCAGGCTACTCAGCATCTTCATGAAATCTCCCTAACACATGGCTTCCCTTTGCTATCCTGGCCAGTAGAAAAGTCAGCCTCCAAGGAAATAGTTTAGAGCTTGGCAGAGGATTCAGACATCATCAAATTTATTTTACCAATGAAGGCAACAGCACAGAGAAGGGAGAGTAGGCCAGAATCAGTCAGGCTGACTCAGGGCTCGTGAACACCGTCAGCAGTAAGAGGAAAACTTTATTTGGAAGGCAGGGGATGGCTGGGAATGACACAGGGATGGTGGGTGTCTCCGTGCCTTTAGGAGATATATATTCTGGCTTGGCAAGATCAAAGAGGTGGTGCTGTAATTTCAATAGAGTCAAGGCAGCCACTTGCCTTGGGATTCACAGAAACCAGGCTGCCCTCTGAGGGCCTAAACTCCTTCCATAGCTTCCTGCCCTGTGGCTATGGGACTCCGCTTGAACCCTGAACTGGGAAGCCCACTGTCTGATCACTGCAGCTCACAGTAGCCCCATTACAAAGCACAGTCTCCTGTAACCTGTCTCCTACGGCCTCTTCCCACACACAGGCTCTATTTTTCAGCAGTAGAGAGAACAAGTTGATTGTCCCCTGAACCAGCTCAATGACTGTCGCCAGTTATCTGAGAACAGAGATCATGTTCTTTTAAGGTCTCCTTGAAATAAATACCCTCCCAGGACACTTCTGGGTCCCCTCTCCAAACTAGTCCCTTATGAAGGGAAGCACTGAGTGAAGAAGAAGCCTAAACCTGACTCGTTTCTCTGCAATGCAAAGGCCTGGGGCTCCCTCCTGATGAGGGAGAAACATACTCCAGGCTGGTCTTGACATCTCTAGGAGTCCCTGGTACCCTCAGAACCTCTTCATCAGCCTTGGTGAGGCCAATGGATTTGCTGGCTTGTAGTGTTGCTCTGCAGAGAGCTGTTGGACTGGTGATAGGCAGCCCAGGAATACAGGGAGGCCAGCTGCAAGCATGGCACCTTCATCTGTAACTCAGAGCCAGGTTCTACTGCTTCCTCAAAAGGCAGCAGCTGGCCTGCAGCCCTCACTCACCAAGAGGATCCAGACCAGAAGTCCCTTCAGTCAGCCTCCCCCAACAGTTTCCCTATAAGTCCTGTCTGCAGAACCGTGTTCTCTCAAGGTCCCCTCGGTCTAAGATCCCAGAGGCTCAGTCTTTCTGGTCGAGGCTCAGACCCAGCTCCTGAAGACCCAGAAAACATAGAGTCCCCATCTGGAACTGGCTGTTGCTCACCATGGTGCTAGATGTTGCTACACCACAGCCACACGGTTGTGCCTCTTCTGACTGGCCTCTTGCTGAACCCTTAGGCCCCAAACTGCTGCAGGCTACAACTCGGACTGGGATCTTGAGATTCTTGGGCCTTTGCGGATCTCTTTCCGCTTCTCCTCCTTCTTCCGGCGTTTTTCTTCTTCCCTCAGGGCCTTCTGGAAAGGGTCAGTGCTAGGAATGAACTGAGATTAGCAGAGTCATTTAATTTAGTCTAGGAGTACCAAAGAGTTTCTGCCCAGCGAAATCATGGAATGTAAAACAAGAAGGTCCCAGAGAAGGCCCTGCCTCCAGGAAGTCCCAGACAAGGAAACCAATGAGAGGGCTTTGGGAAAGGCTGACTGTATCTTGAGATAATCAGGAGCTTGACAGGCAGACAGGGAAGACAGGAGATTCCAGGCCTGGGGGACAAATGCCAGCTAAGGTGTGAACTGGAAAACAAATACTCTCTTCAAGGAAGGGGAGCTGTGTGGCTCTTGAAATACCTGCCTGACACCCTTCAGGAGCAAAGCAAGCTAGGAATCCTAGACTACAGGTGCTGCCACTAGGGAACAAGGAACAGTCCCCCATGAAAGGAGCACAAAGTGGACTAGAAGAGAAAGAGATGGGACTTCTAGGCAGGCAGGGATGGGAAAGGACAAGGATTTGGGGGCAACTTCAACTTCAATCCCAGGGCACGACTCTCCTCCCTCCATCCTTTTCTACAAGTCTCATTCAACCCAAAGCTTCTGTTGGTCTCTAAATAACTATCAAACTTGCATCTCTATGTCTATTTGTCTCTGTAACCGATGGCTGGTTTCCATGTCGACATTCCAGCAGGCCTTTTCACATGCTGTGGCCTAGGTCCAGAATGCCCTTTCCAGCCCTGTCTGCTTTGTCTCATTTGCTCCAACTCTGCTCCCACTATCCTGGGGACCTCTTCCACGGCTGCCTCCTCACGGGCACCCGCCTCCTCGCTGGCACCCTCTCTTCTGCTTTGTACTAATTTATTCTTGTGCTCCTCCTTTTTGGTCACCTACGGCAGCATGTTCCGTGAAGACGCAATGCTGGTATTGGGTGCTGTACTCCACTATGTCCCAAGCACAAAGCCTCACAACAGCATTCAGTGTGCACTTTGAACAAAATGAACATGAGACTATAAAACACAAAAGTATCCAAAACTCAGACTGTGAATGGACAAGTGTAATCAAGGTAGGCATTAAAAACAAACTAAGAGTGCCACCTTGTGGCTTAACCTACCTGCCACATATGCAGCCATGCCTCTGGGAAAAGGGGGACATCCCTGTAGTGGTTCAAAGACAGGCCACACAGCTAGTGGAATGCCCAACTAACTAGAACTAATTCAACCAGGCATTGCATGCACCTCCAGATAGCTGCCACTCTTCTCCCATAAGAGAATCTTCTAGCTGAATACAAAATGGTAGACAGGCTGGGGATCATTTGGATAGCATGCGTAAAGCCCTAGGTTCAAGCCCCAGTACGGGGGGGGGGGGGGGGGGGGGGCGGGGGGGGGGGGGGGGGGGGGGGGGGGGGGGGGGGGGGGGGGGGGGGGAGTGGGAAAACTATCGGGATCATCCCTGACCAACAAGAAGAAATTATGTTGCTCTTATAGTAGTGTCTAAGATACTATATTATGATAATGATATTATATGACATTATATATTATGATAATGTTACACTAAATTTATTTATTTTGGTTTTTCAAAACAGGGTTTTTCTGTAGCTTTGGAGCCTGTCCTAGAACTCGCTCTGTAGATCAGGTTGGCCTTGAACTCACAGAGATCCACCTGTCTGTCTCTCAAGTGCTGTGATTAAAGGTGTGTACCACCACTGCCTGGCTTACCTAAATTTATCTTGGAAGTACTCTGACACTGTCCTGTGTGACAGAAGCACATAAGACTTACACTGCGAGAACTACTTGCAGAAATTTAGCATCTCCCTAGGTGCCCCCTTGTGGTGGAAAGAATCTCTCCAAGACCCTAAGCACCTGAGTGCGCTGACTGAGTACACCTAGAATCAAGGTCTTGTCCAGGGCTACTTATCAGGGTTATGATGATAGAAAGCAGCCTTGAGGGGTATACTACTGGGAAGGGGTAGTAGCTACTTTGATGGGAAAACCATATTCCCTACCCTTTCTGTATAAAACAGGAACCTCAGAGGTTCTGCTAGATATAAATAGCCAGGCATGGGCCACTGTGGTTCAGCTGGGTTAAAAAACTAAGGTGCTGAACAGAAATTAGTAAACGTTGCAGGTGTGGCCATGTGTGGTGGCATATGGCTGTAGTCCCTGCACTTAGAGTCCCAGCAAGCAAATCTGGAGTTGAGGCTAGGCTGCACTTCATGAGACCCTGTCTCAACAAATAAGGAAACAACAGAGAAACATAGGAAAGGAGTTGCAGGTCTGGCTGCTATCTTTTAAAAGTCACGTGTCTAAAGTTGGCCCTTGACTGGCAGCTGGGGACCATAGTCTAAATAAGTAAAAGTGGTTCACTGTTCTCAAACTGTCTGTGAAATCGAAATGGTTTATGATAACTTTCCTCGCAGCAGCTTGGAGTTTGGGTACTAGTTAGATACAGTGCACTCATAAAACCAATTCCCAGTAAAAACCAGAGCACTAGTCTCTAGTGAGTTGACAAAGGAAGCTCTTACATACAACTTGTTGCTGGGGGAATTAAATACATCTGTGACCACTGGAAGCAAATGCTAACAGCTGGTTTCCCATGTGTCAAGGCTGGTGTCAAATTCCAGAGCTCAAGTGATCATCCTGTCAGCCTCCCAAATAGCTGGGATCACATGTGTGCCGCCACAACCGGTCAACAGGTCTCTATAATTTGGATCACATGTGTGCCACCACAATTGGCCAACAGATCTCTATAATCTTGTAGAAACTCCCTTGTCCCACTCACATCTGAACCTTCTGAAGGCTCTAGATGAAAGAGGGGGTGACTAGAGAAAAGAAAAATTATAGGCATTCAGATGGGACACATGAATAATTCAGCAATGACTCGAGCACCTAGGAAGGGCTTGAAACTCTAGAAGGCACAGAGAACACAGTGGCAGGTGCCACTAACCGTCACAGGGTATGTAGTTCCCACCCCCATGATGGGAACACTCAAACTGACACAGTCTGTGTCTTACACCATCAGAGATCTCCTCAGAGTACCTATGTACCCATGAAGGATGGCACAAACCTGCTTTACTCTCACAGGTAAACTATCCTTTATTCCTTTTTTTGTTTGTTTGTTAACAGAGCTTTTCTGTGTAACTGTAGCTGTCCTGGAACTCACTTTATAGACCAGTGATGGAGGAGGGTCATGTGTCTGTCTATGTGTTACTTTCATTGGTTAATAAACTGCCTTGGCCCTTTGATAGGACAGAAAATTAGGTAGGCGGAGTAAACAGAACAGAATGCTGGGAGAAAGAAGCAGATTCAGGTAGACGCTATAGCTCTCCTCTCCAAGATAGACGCAGGTTAAGATCCTTCCTGGTAAGCCACCACCTGGTGGTGCTACACAGATTATTAGAAATGGGTTAATCAAGATGTGAGAATTAGCCAGTAAGAGGTTAGAGCTAATGGGCCAAGCAGTGTTTAAAAGAATACAGTTTCCGTGTAATTATTTTGGGTAAAGCTAGCTGGTGGCCAGGAGCCAAGTGGCAGGAAGCAGCCCACTGCTCCTTCAACAGAGGACCAGACTGGCTTTGGACACAGAGATTTGCCTGCCTCTGTCTCCCGAGTACTGAGATTAAAGGCGTGTGCCAACATGACCTGGTCTATCTTTATTCCTAATGCCTAGGTAGCTTTGGGTTATATGACACAGGCAACTGAGGTTAAAATTCTGCAGTTAAATACCCTCAATGTACTGAAGACTTAAAAGTGTAAAGCAGAAGAGAAAGGGCCACAGGAATCTGTCCACGGAGGATGACTTTGCTTTGGGCCTATCTATTGCTTCCTATAATTATTAACAAATACATTCAATGAGACTGGCAGGTAAAAATCTAAATTTTAGGTGCATATAACTGATAATATACATTGATTTTAGATGATATTCTGATGGTTCAAAATAAGACTCACTAGTCCCCCCAATATTTAAGTCTGGGTTGAGTCAGGGACCCAGAGAACATGATAATTGTAGTCAGTTCTGCAGGTTGGCTTTGCCCTAGTATTCAGACTAGCTAGCTGTGGTGGCTTGTGCCTGTAATCTCAGCACTCGGAAAGCTAAGGCAGAAATGTGGAAAGTTTAAGGTCAACTGGGGTTACAGAGCAAGACTGTCTCAAAACCCAAACCAAACAATCAAAAAGCAATATCTGAGTGCAGCCTCAATAAATGACATGAAACAAACTGAACGGATTTGGTCCTCGCCTCTCAGTCAGATTAACCAGGCAGTAGGCTATAGAGTACACCATTTGCGAGGGTGCTGGGCACCTTCCTGTGTTCTTGCTGAGGACACTAATAATGCAAAATCTGGGAAGTTCTTTTGTTTGATTAATTTTGTTTTGTTTTAAGGCAGTTTTAGGTCAGGCTGGCCTCAGATTCAGTAGACAGCCAAGGTGGCCTCTTGCTCCAGCCTCCTGAGCGCTGGGGTTACAGGTGAGGACCACACCTCCCTGCTAGCAACTTTACCCTGAGCGTTTCTCAGGATTACTTTTGCAGAGAGACTAATCTTGGAAGGATGAGTATCTTTCTCTGGATAATGCACAGATCTAGTCAATTCACTGTGAAGAAAGATGGCAAACTTTCCAAGCATTGAGGTCTGCAGGCATAATGCAAACCCACTACACACACAGCATCTGCCTGGCCTTCCATGTAAAGATCTGGAAGAACAGGGTACCCAAGACGATAGCCCAACAGTCAAGCTACCGCTTTTGCTGCACTGAAGAGCGTCTGTGACCTGCCGGCATCTATAAGCAGTAGCAGGCTACTTTGTCAGTCTGCAAGCAGGTACAGCCTTGGACCTGTCAGACTCCACACCCTCTGCACAGGCGTCAGTCCTTGTTTCCTAGGCATAGGAGGGACCCTTCCTTCCCGTCCTTCTTGGCCCTGCCCTGCTCCCTCTGGTCCCTTCTTCCCTGTATGTGTCACCATCTGTCTTCTCAAACTACAGCTGTTAGCCCCCAAAGCCAACTTTAGAACTCTAGTTGAAAGGCATGTGTGGGAGTGAGAACAGAAGCCCCAGCATACCAGAACCACAGGCTCAAAGCTGGGAACATCATCTGACCTCACCTGGTCATTCTGACATTCACAACTTGGGGTACGTACTTTGCAATGAGATAAAGATGCTCATAGCCACAGGAATCCTACTGTCCCCCAATCCCCACTCCATCCCCAGCTATGGTACATATTCAGAGAGGAATGATGACTTGCCAAAACCTTCAGTGACTTGAGTAATGATTTCTGGACCTGTATTCACTGGAGTGTCCACTTCCAAGTTTAGAGCTCTTACAGTCTACCCTAGGCCTTAGCCCTGCAGACCCAGTCTCCCACGCCCATCAGACACAAAGCAGTCACAGGACCCAGCAGCTCACCTCTGTCCGGTCCATTCTAAATGGGTTCTGGAAGTCAGAGTCTTTCTCAGTGATCCCCAGCTCCTGGGCCATCTGTGGATGAAAAAACTAGTAACCCTCTTCTGCCCTCTGTTCCCTGGTTATCAGCCATTCCCACTATGCATGGACTTAAGCCTCTAACCAAGGCCCAGATGTGGGCCAGAAACAATCCCTAGGGACTCTCCAAGTCAGCACAGAACCCCTTGAATTAAGCCTTTATGACCCAAAGTGCTCTGAGAAACAAACAAATGTAACTAAGCATTCACAACCGAAGATAACTGACAGGGCCAAGCACAGACAGACGCGAGGCTCCCAGCCCACCACCTGACAGGGTTCCCAGCCTTCTTACTAGTCCTTACCAGGTTGAGGATGGGTGAGTGGGGCCCCTGGTCAAAGACACCTGTCTGATTGCAGAAGCTGATGCCCCACCGGATGAGGAGGTTCCAGTTGGAATTACGGTCAAAGTAGTAGTGCACGATCTTTGGGAAGCGCAGCACCACATCACCAAAGAAGGCTGTGTTCTCCACCACGTGCGAGAAAGCTGGCAGGAGGCTCTTAGTGAGTCATCAGGGTAGTTGTTCTTTTCCTCTTGTCCACCCAGATGGCCCCAGACCTCCTCCAGGAATGGAGGCACTTACCAAATCCCCCAACCAGAGAAGGGTCGGCACCCATTGATCTCAGGCTGTTCACTGCATGTGCAATAGGCAGTAAGACCCTCTAAAGTCCCCACTGATGGCTGTTCCTGTTTTACAGACTGTGTTGGTTAGGTGCTTGTTTTATTTGTTGTTGGATTCTTTTTTCAACTTGACATAAGCCAGAGTCATCTGGGAAGAGGGAACCTCAATCACATCTCTCTAATGCCATGGTTCTAGATCACTGTATCTAAATCAGGAAATTAGCAATACTTTAACTTACCTACAACTATTTGTCATTTGAATTTGGTCAGTTTTCCCACAAATGAGACCAACAGATCAGTTTACACTGGGATTAGAATGTTTACTCTAATGACAGGTCCCCAGACCCAGATAACAACAAAGAGTAGCCATCTCTTCACTCCTAGAGCAGAGAGGACCCGGAGAGCCCTGCCTAGCACTGGCTGGGCATCACAGGGAGGCAAGCAGAAGCCAAAGATCTGCCAGGCTGGCATGTGGGACATGGACCCATAGACTTCAGAATAATCTTGATGCTCAGAGAACTGAAGAGTTAGTTTGGTTCAGAGAAGAGCAAAGGCAAACGACTTGTTCTCTGCCAACTGGAGAAGAGAAGCAACTCCCAGGCATGAGGGGTGGCCGCTGTAAAAGTCATCGTTCCTACGCATGAGCTGTTCCCTCCTCTCAGTGACTCTCAGGACTGGTGAGGCCAGGCCTTTAACCCCAGCACTTGGGAGGCAGAGGCAGGTGGATCGCAATGTATTTGAAGCCAACCTGGTCTACACATCAAGTTCTAAGACAGTTACATAGCGAGAAGAAACAAAAATGTCATCTGTTGGTAGGCATGAGTGAGGAGGGACCACCACTGAAGAGACATTCTTGAGAGAGGGGAAAAACGGACGTGAGACATTCTTTCATCTTACTCGCTTTTCTCCCCTTGTCTAAAAAGGGATTTAAGGAGCTTACGTATTTTACTACAGAAGCTAAGAGTGCTGGCAATCACACTCTGACTCAGCTGTCTGACAGGCCTCGGCCATTTCACCTTCCAACAGAAACAATCCCTACCTGCCCTCCCAAAAAGTAGCTGGCAGACTCTATCCAGGCCCTGGGTGGGGAGGGCAGAGATTCTTTTCTGGTTTCCCTGTTCTAAACACAGGACAACATAAGGGAATACGTGCAAGGGCAGAGAAACTGGCTCTGGACCCCAGGAATGTTTAAACCACAGACGAGGCCTTTATCCACCCAGGCCAACTACTCAGGCACACACGAGGATATCCCCCAGGGGACAAATGACGAGAACAGAGAAGGACCAGCTAGAGAATACCAGGGTGGCAGGCAGCAAAGCCAAGTGCTGGGGAGACCATACCGTCCTTCAGCTTCTCGTCCTGGGGGAAGGGCCCATCGGGGAGAACATTGGCAGTGGTGAGTACTGTCCGGGAGTCCTCCAGCACCTGCAGGAACCCCATGTCTGCTAAGTGGCTCTGGGGAGACCCTCACAACCTAGCTCCAGCCCCAGTTACCTGAACGCCGCTCCCACTCTTCCGCATATACACTACCTCCTCATTGAACACTACTCCGCAGAGAACTCTGTCTGCACAAATCAAAGCCCTGCCCTGCTGGGAGCTGCCCTGTTCCCTGACACACCTTAAAGAGTCCCTTAAGCATGACATCAAGGATTTTGTACTGCTGGTGGATGTCGTTCAGCTGGGCCAGGTTCTTCAGTGCCAATAACTGCTCCCGCCGCTTCACCTCAAACATCTTCTTGTCTGAGCACCATTAAGTTAAGGGACTAGCAGAAAACACCTACCTGGAAACCCGATGGCCCTGACTCAGAGGGCCCTTTTCTAACCTGTGCTACTAAACGCCTTGGATAGCCACGGCTGGGATGCCTCTGGGAAGAGATGGATTGCCTGTGAAGTATATAGGTCCTGTAATGTACCATTTCTCCAGATCTCAGAGACTCCACACCCAGAAAAGAACCGAAAGCCAACACTCCAAGACCTGGCACCTACCCTCCCATCTCTGTGTCTTCCTGTCGTCTCTCACAATCATTCATTATTCCAGGACCTCCAGCAATCCGCTTAAACTATAACTTCAGCCTGAGATGCCCCCACCATTCTCCTGGTGCTTCTATCAAGACCTTGCTCAGAAGGAAGGTCCACAGTACAGTGCTTCTCCCAAGACCTCCAGTATCTACCAGAGCCTCAATCCAGAGAACCAAGGCCATTCATTTGGATGTTCTGGTGGTTTAAATGAGAATGGCCCCCATAGGTTCTTATTTAAATGTTTGGTTCCCAGTTTGTTAGACCCTTTAGGAAGAATTAGGAGGTAGAAGTGTGACCTTGTTGGAGGTGTATCACTGGAGATGGGCTTTGAAGTTTCAAAAGCCCACACCAAGCACAGTCTCTCTCTCTGCCTCCTGCCTATAGACAAGGATATAAGCTCTTAGCTACTGCTCTAGTGCCATTGCTGCCTGTCTTCCCACCATGATGATCAAGGAGTAACCCTCTGAAACTGTAAGCAAACTCTCAATCAAATGCAGCTTGGTCATGGTTTCTCTTCACAGTGACAGTAACTAACGCACATGTTTCTCCTTCTAGCTCTGTGAATGCCTCAAAACCAGGGATGGTCTTGTCCTTGTGTTGACTAGACATGGCTCAGAGAACCAGTGTCAAAATAAGCTAGCAATCCAGAGTTCTGGAGGACCTGCCTGGGGTCTCACCAGCCAGGCGCTACACATGAACACTCCTCATTTGCAGAGCCGAGAGATGGGCCTAAACTTCAGTTAACATATGGGGAACCAGCTCAGGAGAAAACTGACTTGCTGGGGCTGGAGAGATGGCTCAGCGGTTAAGAGCACTGGCTGCTCTTCCAGAGGTCCTGAGTTCAATTCCCAGCAACCACATGGTGGCTCACAACCATCTGTACTGAGATCTGGCACCCTCCTCTGGCATGTGGGCATACATGGAGGCAGAATGTTGTATATATA